CACCAGGAACTGTAAGCTCTGCCACTGGTGCCATCCCAAAGCCAATCCCTGTGGATTCCCAAAGAATCCAATCAGCATTATCCAACCCACATAGTTCTTTTTCCAAATCTTTTCTGTTGGGGGCATATAACTGAGGGCACCTCGGTCTTACACCTGGAGCCTGAGTGCAAGTAGGCTGGGAAAGCTAGCTCTCCCTTCTATTAATATCTCGAAGAGATGGAATTCCTAATGAAGAAAGTTCCTTAAACATGGGAGAATTGCTCACAAGATGGCAGACAGCCATAAATGTGACAAATGTCCACTAGGGTGTCTGAAACAATGGTAGGACTGAGAGTTAGGTGCTAGGAGTTCAAATAGGGCCTCCAGTGTGAGCCTGCAGTATTGGGGAAAGGGACCCATTGGCCCAGACATCACATTCATGAGGGGCTCTTCAACTTTTGACATTATCACCAAAGGAAGTTACACATGAAGGTCACAGAGAGACAGTAATGAAGTTCATTCTCCACCTTTAAACTTGTGAACCATTATCGGACCAGACTGCCTCAGGGACACTATGAATTCACTAATTTTACAAATTCTGTAATGATCTTGGAATTAGCACAGCATAATTATATTACACTGTATTTTCGTCTGCTAAACTATTGTTTACATGCAACCATTTAAAATAAACAACAGAGCTTCCCTGGTGGCGCAGTGGTTGAGAGTCCGCCTGCCGATGCAGGGGACATGGGTTCGTGCCCCGGTCCGGGAAGATCCCACATGCCGCAGAGCGGTGGCTGGGGGTGAGTGGGTGAAGGTCCTGGACACTCAGTTCTGCAAGTGGGGTCGGGTAGCGTGGATAAGGGATATTTCAGAGAATTAAGCAGAGTTGAATTGCAATGCAGCATAGAGCTGTTTAATTTGCACCTGAAAGGGACGGTAGTGGTGTCCTAATTAACCAAGACAGAGGTTATATATTTGGGCGTCCAGAGAGGTCCTTGGGGTTCATGTGTTAGAGTTTTCTTGTGGGATGGTTTGGGAAGCTGCCCAGAGAATGACATTTTAGGGGCCTTGGGGGTTTCATGTCAGAAGTCCATCCTCCTGCCAGCCCTGTGATGGAGGGTCACTGTGTCTGCATCAGAAGCTCCAGGGTTCCTGTCAGTATCCTTTGGGGGTGTGGTGGCAGACAACCTGCGCTGGGGTCTGTACCCCCAGGAGGTGGGAGTGAGGCTCTGCACGAGCCTCCTCCACCCACCCCCGCCGCTGAGGCAGCCTGGGGGCTTCCTGCCCTAGAAACCTGCCCCTCCTGATTTCTGTTAATTGCTTCCTGGCGCCCTGACCTTGGCTTCTTCCTGCTCTTCTGTCACCCACACCGTGTTGTCGTGTCTGCAGTGAAATTATGTTGCTTCTACTCTGAAGTGCCTCTCAGATCTCTGTTTTTTTTTTTTTTGCGGTACGAGGGCCTCTCACTGTTGTGGCCTCTCCCGTTGCGGAGCACAGGCTCCAGACGCGCGGGCTCAGCGGCCATGGCTCACGGGCCCAGCCACTCTGCGGCATGTGGGATCTTCCCGGACCGGGGCACAAACCTGCGACCGCTGCATCAGCAGGCGGACACTCAACCACTGCGCCACCAGGGAAGCCCCTGATTTTTTTTTTTTTTAACCCATACATAAATTGGCTTGTTACACAACAGGCACTGTTCAAATCTCTTTGCAGGTTTTTTATACATCTGCTCTAAGTTGCTTACATAGATTAATTTAATCCTCACAAAAAGTCTATGAGGAATTATTAGTCCCAATTTACAGATGAGCAAACTGAGGCACAGAGAGGTTGCATGACTTGCCTTAATCTCACAGAGCTAGGAAGTAGCAGAGATGGGACTCGAACCCGGGCCACGTGGCCAGAGCTTAGCCACTCAGCCACTTCACCCCAAGTTCCCAGTGAGGGCCTTCCATTGCCCAAAGCCCAGCCTCAGCCCTCCCATCTGAGTTGCTACACATGGCAGTCCTCGTTTTTTTGGGTTTTTTAAATTCTTTTATTTTTTAAATTTTTTGGCCACACCATGCAGCATGAGGGATCATAGTTCCCTGACCAGGGATCAAACCCATGCCCCCTGTGGTGGAAGGATGGAGTCTTAACCACTGGACGATTAGGGAAGTCCCCTTAGGTTTTGAATATTTGAAATTATGTGATGTAAATACTTTAATAAGGTCTCACTTCAGGTGTATTTTGAAATAATGTAACCTTTCCATTTGAAAAATGTGAAAAAAACAGCAAACATTTCCAAGTTGGCAGGTCCAGGGATTTGCGAGATGGACTGACACAATTTCCACAGCCTCGTGGCACCAGGTGAGCTGGTAACTAGGCAAACTCCATCATTTGTCATCCTGTGGGCATCACAGTATTTTTGCCATGCTTTGGAAATTCAGTAAGTGAATCCATTCCTAGTGCCCAGTTATGTGATCAGTCACTGTTGTTAGAATTGAAAATCTTTTTTATAACCTGTAACAATGGCATCCAAGTGTCAGTTAAGTGGTGGGGCTTGCGGTAGTGTTCCCAAAATGGAGCCAACATCAATAGCTTTGCACTGGAAGTCAGAAGTGCTAAAATGCCTCAAATAGGGCTGAACAAGCACCATGATACATACAGCTGCCAATTTAGGAGCAAGCCCTTTCCAAGCCATTGGAAATGGAGCTGAGAAAATGGAAAGCAGCGGTTAAAAGCCCAAAGCCTGCTTCCCTGGTTATAGATTTATGTACAATAAGAAACATCCCTCCCACTTGACCTGTACTTCTTTGGGAAGATTAATCTCATATGAAGTGAATTTCAATTAAATGTGATTGCCCTGTGCTAAACTCCAACTGGACTCCTCATCTTTTCTTACTATGGAGAGAATGGCCACCACATTAGTTCTGCTGAAAGGTGGATCATGCCACTCTCCCGCTCAAAAACCTCCTGTGGCTCCCACTGCCCACTAAAATAGGTCCTAGTATTCAAGCTATTCAATCAGACTGAGGAGTCTCCCCTGGGTACCAGAGGCTCCCAATGGTGGGGTCAGGACCCCTACATCACATGCACACTCACACCAGCAGGGCCACACCATTGAGACCCCCGTCAGAACCTAACTGTTGGCTTGAGGCATTTATGTATTGGGAGTGGAAGTCTGATGGGGTCTCAGTACCTGGGATGGGATGGGAACGCCTGGATCCCCAACAGGTGTGGTGTTCAGTCAGTGCCCGGCACACAGTAGGCCTTCATTAAACATTTGTGTGGTGAATGAACGGTCTTTACAAGAATTGTTGCCTTTGAGTTCTCTACCCTCAGGGACAAAAAGACCAAGACCACAAATGTGAAGGGGGTCTCCAGGATCTTAGGCCATTCTGGGATTTCATCTCCTTGGTGTAGGCTAGGGAAATGACCTCAGTAATCAAAAAATTTAAACATTTCTTATGTTTGTCTAGGGCAGGGTTTCTCAACCTTGACATACTGGGCTGGATGATTCTTTGTTGTGGGAGCTGTCCTGGGCATTGAAGGCTATTTAGCTCCATCCCTGGCCGCTACGCAACTAGATGCCAGGAGCGCCACCCCCCAGTCCAAGGTGTGAAATCAAGGATATCTCCAGACTTTGCCAAATGCCCCTGGGTGGGGGCTGGATTACCCCAGGTTAGAAACACTGGTCTAGGGCAGTGATTCTCAACTCCAGTGGCATACTAGAATCACCTGGGGAGCTTGGGAAAAAAAACCTGATGCCTGGGTCCCACCTCGAGACATTCTGATGTAACTGGTCCTGGGTAGTGGCCTGGGTACACAGAATTTTAAAAGCTCCCCAGGTAGTCCTAAGATTTAGCTAAGTCTGAGAGCCACTGATTTAGCACTGGGCAGCCTACAAGTTTTATATGCACGACAAGCCTCACGAACCTATCTGTGCAGGAAGGGAGCGGGATTATTACTGTGAGTTTCTGACTAGAGACGTGAGGTCCAGAGCGGTGTGGTAGCCCTATGAGTGGTGGTGTTGGGATTCCATCCCAGCACATCTGACTCCTAACCCAGTGCTCTTCCCAAAGGGCAGGGCCCAGCCTGGGCAGGTTTGGTGTTCAGGGTCCTCAATGTGAGTCTTTCCTTTCCCAGTGGTTCTTCCTACCCATGGTGGCCCCCCTCCTCACTCAGTGTCCCCATTTCTTTATGCAAAGGCACAGCTAGCAGTCATTTACACTTTAGTGAGAACACGAGGCTGCTTTTCTTCTTCCAGGGGGATTGGCAAGTTATGCCTCATCTGTAACAGTGAAGAGGAAGGCTTTCCATAAGCCCATAGATGGGGTGCGGATGGTTTTGGGGTGATGAGGTGTGTATTCATGACATCTCTGAAATTAAATCCAATTGGCAATTGTCTTTCATTAAAGTTCACCTCATTCTAGCTTTGAGTTTAAAATTCTATCCAGTTCCATTTCGTTTACAAACAATTTTTGGAGCATCTCTTATACATTTGTAAGTGCATTCATGAAGTCACTGCTGGTCTGACCTTAACAAGGCTCTAAGTTCCGAGGTAGAGGGCATCCTGGCCTGCTTCTGGCACTCACTACACCTTGGCCCTGACTGGACATATGATATGGTAGGTACCTAAAACATAGATGACTGAATGTCAGGCCACAGACCCGGGACCCAAGCCTGTGCCCTGGAGAGAGACCGTACAGGTGTAACATCAGGACCAAATCTGCAGGCGTGTGGCTGAATCTCTCTCTTCTGCTCAGGGCTGGCATCAAGAGCAGCCAGCTTCAGAAGCCTTCAGAGAAAATGTGAGCACAGTGGGGTTTCAAAGCTTTTCCATAATAGACATATCGAGCAGAGACCACTTTTATTGGGATGGCTTCGTTTGAAGAAAAGGGAAAGA